AGTCAGGGCTGGCCCCTACCCAGGGCCATGGCTCCTCCAACAAAGCTTCTCCTCCTGCCCTTACTGTCTGCAGAGCCTCGCCTTTCGGGGTGGCACTTTCCAAAGCAGAGTCTCTGCTTCCTACTGATGAGAAATGTCTGTAAAAGCACTTGAGCTCTCAAGGAACAAGACAGGGAAGGCGGCTTCTGCCCAGCTGACCCAGTATAGGGAAAACCTGGAGTTAATGTGACAGTTATCCGTCCTCTCCCCCTTCTGCAAGTCGCCCTCTTCACCCAGATCCATCATAACACCTAAGTGCAAGCTTAGCTTCCAAGGACCGTGCCTAGGTTTATGCTCTGCATGGATTATACTCTCATTTATCATCTGCTCAGCTCCTACACCGCACGGCTAAGGAAGATCTCCCTGGGCACACATGCACGGCTTACGCAAGGAAGCAGCAAGAGGTCCCAAGGGTGGTCCACATGCCACAGTTGTCATCATCTGGGGCGAACACTGCCCCACAACTGACCATGGCAATGAGAAGCCACCTCCTGCAGCACTGGTGGGATGGGTCAAGCCATAGAGATGGGCCCAGGGCCAGCTCTGTAAAGCACAACCCATTCCTCTTCCCTCCCCTCCGTGGTCTTTAGATAGGCACAGAAATGCCATTACAAGAACATTAGCAACTTCAGGATTAAACACTCTAATGGCAGAAAATGAGAGTGTAAAGACAGCACTGATAACCTTAACTCAGCCCCCTCCAAGGCATGCATTTTGATTGCTGTTTATGTATAACACTTCAGCCCGAAGCTAAATTAACTTGGGAGTTAACTGCCTCCTGCCCTGCTTGGTGCACGAGGCAAGCTGTGCCGCCACATGGAGAGAAATCATATATTACATAGGTTTTGACCAAGTTATTAAACTCCATACCTTAGAGAGACAGAAGCTCATCTTAGAAAAGTCTAAGTCAATAAAGACGGTCGGGTCCTCCAACAGCGAAAATAGCAGAAGTGCACAAGAACAAACAAATATTACTTGATGTGCACAAAACCCTGCATGATATTAAATTGAACTATGGGAGGAAATGGCTGTTTTCATAAACACAAACACACCCTCACCTAGATGGGTCATCTCCTGATTTACCTGCTCAGCATTGTCACCTCTGAATCCTCTTAACAGGTTACCTTTAAAGAATGGCTCTGTTTGAAGGTGATTTTCATCTGTGTCCTGCCCGTAAGACCTCCGTCCTACCTGCACATGAACACCTTCCATTTGGAAGATGATGGAAACCTTTTGTGCTTCCTCCTGCCGCTTTCTAGAAAGACCCTTCCTTACCACATCTCCTTTGGTCCTTACAAGCCAGTGCCTATTGCTTTGTGGGTGCCATCCATTGTGGATGCAAAGGAGAGGATTTTGATGGCAAAATGCCTGATTTATAGATGGAGAAGAAAAAAATCCCACCCATTTGCACCTGCTAATCAAGGTGCCATCCATCTCATTTATGCCACTGCTCCAGCAAGCCTGACAGCACAGAATCAGAGGCTGTTTCTTCCAGCACTTGGCCCTAAGGGACCAATTCTCCAGCAGGTCTCTTAAGCAATGCCCACAGAATGTGCAAGTGAATCAGTTTTGTGCATACAAAGCAGGTAATTGTGCTCACAAATCAGGATTTGCATATGCTGCTGGAAACAGATGCTCTCATCAATGTTACTGGTGCTGGGAATGGAAGCCAGGGAAAAAGCACTCCTGAATCTTACACAAGAGGTATTTCAGTGCATGGTAGGAGTGGTGGCACTACCAATGTGCTCCACATCTGTCCAAAATGCAAAGAGCGAAGAGAGTTGATGGCAAGTCCCAGAAGATGACAAACCTTTCCCTGTTCTCATTCCAAGCACCACAGCCAGCTCCTGCCAAGAGGATGGGGAGATTTGGATCCCATCCTGAGGACCACAAGGACCACATCCCGACCCTGGTGAGGTACCTGTCCCATCTGATGCGGCAGATGGGGCATGGCCACTGTGTTGCATCTGCAGGGGGAAGACCTTCATCAGCATCCGTTTAACACCTGTATCTACAGTCAGTCATGTCTGATCAACCAGCCTGCCTGTTTCTAAGGCAGGGGGGAAAGGAGGAAGATGGTATTTTGCTCACGTGCAGATGTTGGTGCTCCCTCTGACAAGCTCTGACGAGCTGGTGCTTTGCAAAGAGGGTTTGAAATCTGTCAGGGGGGGCAGCAATCATTTAATTAAAGAGTGAGTCACACGGTGAAGACACAAGGGAAGGCAAATTAAGGTCAGGCAAGCAAAATGTATTTTGGCATTTCCTAGCGTTTCAGAGCCTCCGCTTTCACAGCGGATTATTACTCATACTGAAGGAGTGCTTGGTGGCTGGAGTCATGAGTAAGCACATTGTACAGACAGATCTCATCTAAAACTCCAACCCCAAAGGAGGTTTGGGAAGGGGTAAGACTCAGCAGACAGAGCATACGTGACCTGGAGGTCCTTAAACATGTGCCAGGAGTCTGTGGCAATGCCACTGATGTTGAGTGCTACCCACAGAAGTCTACTTACACCTTGGAGCAAGGAGGCTTTGGGACAAGGCTGTATCCACACAACCATGGAGTTATGCAATAAACGCACTGGAGGACCTCAAACCTGGCTGTGCTGCTCTCCATAGGAGAAACCTTCAAGGCTTTTATCCTCTAGACAGGACAAACCCCAGTCCTCATGGACACTTCACCCAACCTGAGAGGACAGAGGGCAGGGGAAACCCTCAGCACCCACCGCTTGGGATGCTCACGGAGATGATGAAAATCCCTGACCTGAAAAGGTTGAAATTCAGGCAGGATTTATGTCCCACAGTAAAACCACAGGCCTGCCTCTCTCGTGGTGATAAAAATAAATCACCCTTAAAAACAGAATGACATTCATAAAAAGAAATCTGAGAATACATGCAGTGTATCATGGAGTTACAGCCTGCCCCAGCCTGGCATGGGAACTCCTCACCAGCTAAAGGCCTGTCAATGGTGATGACTGTAAGTGTGTGCCTGGGGCTATGTCCTGGGATAAGGTGTCAAAAAGGCACTTCCAAAGGCATCACTTTCAGTGGGTGCTTGCTCAGCTCTTGTGAAGTTTGGACCTCTTAAGAGGAGTCTTAGATTTAGGCTCTGAAAATCAACAAACCCATTGGCCAGTCCTGCTCTATCCCTGCAGATCCAACTGAATCCTTTATCCACATGCAAACTCCCAGGGAAAGAAACCGATCGAGATTTCAGGCAAGGAACATGAAGGTTCAGATGAAGGCTGCTTTGTCCTTGGCCCCCACCATGGGTAAGGAGGGAGGATGGGAACCAAGAATAGGAGCTGCAGAGCAGCTGGCAAGGTTCGGATCCAGTGCGGTGCGGAGCAGAGCACATCCCAGGCTAAGGAGCATCCCTGCCTTCCCTACAAATGAGATCTGACACATCCCGCTCAAGCGTGGGGTGTCCAGCGAGAGCGACAAGCTGCTCCTGCGAGCTGGGGATGGAGGGAGAGCAGCAGCTGGGATGGTGTGGGAAAACAGCCGCTCCTCGCATCAGAGGCCATTGAGCATTAAAGCAGCCCTGCTCCATGCCAAGGATGGCGTGGGGGGGCTCTTCCAAAGGGGAAGTCATGGTCTGGCTCCATGCATTTCTGCTGCAGGAAGAGCTTTTTCTCTCCTGCTCCTCTGAATGAAGGGAGAGCTGAGCGCATCCTCCCTCTCCCACTGAGGTGGCTGCGTTTCACCATTGCCTGAAACAACCCTTCTGCTCTGTGACATCTGGATGAGAAAAGCCTCCTCCAGCTCTGATTCCATCTGCCGGGGTGGCTGCTGTCACCTCCCAGCCCTCATTGGGACTGTAGGTGATGCCCAGGGCTCATCTACATGGGAAATTCATCCCAAGTAAGCATCCTGCTGCAGCAGCGCCTGCCAGTGCCTCTGTGCAGACAAGCCTTGAGGAACAGGAGTACTAAGAGAATATTCGTGAGCAAGAAAGCATTTATATTACCATGTTCAGGATTTGCACCTCAGCAGAGCAGGGAGGGATGAGAACAGGGTCCCCTCTGTCAGCCTATGGTGTGTTCATAAAGGATTTCTTCCCCTCAAGACACTATTAACAGCAGTGGGAGGCTTAGAAAAGGTCTCCTCTGTGAGCCATCTCCCTCCAAATCCCCTGGCAAAACCAGAAACCAACATCCCTATTTGCAGCCATGAGTCTGCTCCACAAACACAAAGTAAAAACACGCATGTGAGGTCCTGTCACCCATTCCAGCTGAGACATCACCTCTCAATGGCCAGCCGTTGGTTGGGGTCACATATACTTATTTCCACTCATGCAAACCCCCTGCCCTCATTCACTAGTTGCATGTCTGCTGTTCTCTATGTGCCCAGCTCAGTGCAGATGCCAGGACCCTCGTTTGTCCTGCAGGAGCATGTAGGGCAGAAGGAATGGTGACACTTCGCCTTTGCCCAGCCCCATATCTCAGAGTCCCAGCAGGGCTGGCTGCAAGCAGAATATGCTCAGCAAAAAGGTCAATTACAAATGAGGAAAGATGGCAACTTCCCAACTCCACGAGGAAGTGTTGGAGAAGAGATTTAACTGAGGTGACCATCAGACAGAAGCACTAATGGAAAACATGGTGCTTTGCAGTGGAATGGTCAAAAAAGCAAAGGGATGGAGATGGGGCAAGCTTGTGAGTAGGGTGTCCAAACTGGACAGCAAAGAGCACAACTTACAAACAGATTAACCCCATGTGTCTGCTGCTGCCACACCAAAGAGGTGGCAGCTCCACCATTTCAAATCCCCATCCTTGTGCCCGTCTCCTTTGCACCTTGCTAGCGGGGCTCACCAGTGGGTGACCCTGCTGGTACTTCCTGGACATCCATGCCCAACACCAGGCTAAAGAGGTGAACTGAGTGGGTGTCGAAGTATCCAGAGATAAACCTTCTCCCTCACAGTTCCAAGCTTCCCAAGGTCTTCACTCGTCCCCAGCCTCCCTTACCTGTCTCCTGGTCACAGAGCTGCTCACAGGCATCGGTGGTCCTCTGGCCACAGAGGTCTCTCACCCAGGGGGAAGTGGCATTGATCTGATAGTACAGGGACAGCTTGGCTGGATTAAGCCAGTCGGAGATGTCCAAGTAGCTCCCTTCGCTCACAACGAAGCTGCTGCCTGGAAGGTGGGGAAGAAGTGTTAGGCGAGTGTAAGTAGCTAAAATAAACCAAACCAAACAAAAAACCCCCATCAAACAAGTATTTTGGCCCAATAGCAGAACACTCGACTCTTCAGAAGCTGCCGTGACATCAAGATTAGCAAAATAATACCAAGTTCACCAACACTCAGACCCAAAGAACTTCATTTGACCATTCCTCTCCATATGAATGTGCCCCAGCAAACGGTCCACCAGCTGGGACATTCTTCTCCCCTAGCCTTATACCACGCAATATCATGGATTTGAGTTCGAAATCTCTGCAGAAATGTGGACCAATGTGACTAATATGATCCATAAGATTGAAGCATCTCATCCCAGCTCATGCAGGTGGCGTCCATGAGGATGCAAGGCTTAGGGTGCAAACAGGCAGTGGCCACACGGGCTATTCCCACTTCACTTCCATAGTTGAGGTGAGGGAATTGACCCAACCTGCAACTTCTTATGTGAGTGGTCTCGTATCAGAGACATTCCCAAGAGCCAGAAATGAATTCCTGCCAAAAGTGTTTTCTTCCAAAATCACGTTTATTTTGTGAAACATTCTTTTTCCCCACTATCATCTGGGAATATGCATCATCTAATTAGCCAAATAGATTTTCAGTTCAGCCCAATCATTTCCTTATCTAACATCTGAGGCCTAGCATCGCTTGGGGGATTTTGCAGGCACAGAGGTCCTCATTAACTCTGATCTTCAATTACATTGATTATAAGACAGCCTCCGTAATAGGGCCGCACAGATCAGAGGGGAGCAAAAAAACCTCTGCCATTAAGTGGTGTTTTGCAAAAGTTACCAGGGTAAAAGCCTTTCAAAACAGGAGAGAAGAAGCCTTCAAAGAGGAGGGGGCAAGGGGAACCAACAGATAGCCCTGGATCCCATAGCCACCCTTCCAGTAAGTGTTAGGACTTGCAAATGTGGGTAAAATTTGCAATCACTATATGAAGATTCAAATCCTTCTTAGTGATTATCCAAGGATAGCAAGTCTATAGATCCAAGGCATATTTTCGTGAAACCTTAAAGCTTGTGTCACTTACTAAAGGACTGGGACATCATTTTGCTAAGCACCACATAAGATCTTAGCTCAATGAAAGCCAAGACATTAAAAAAGCAGGATAAAAACCCACAGCAGCAACCACCCTACATGAACCTGCCTGAACACAACCTCCTAATTTCCTTCTGAAGAGTAACACTGGTGCTTTAGCAAGTTCTTCTAAACATCATCGTGCACCATACAAAGTATAAAATAAGCAGAGCCTGAAGTCAAGCATCCCGGTGAGCAACCCCATTTTCAAGTATTCCAAGATCTCAGCACCACACAAATCTGAGTTCTAATTTCACATGAATTCAAGTCTTCTACACTTACACTGTTTATACACCATAAACACATTCACAGCCACATCTCCACACTCGAAGCTGATGGAGGCTGCCAAGCAAATGGAAATTAGACTTCCCAGATCCAGCTGCTCTGGAGACCCAGCAAGGCAGGAGCCTGCATCACCAAGGCTGCAGGATACATCTCTATCAGACACACAACGGCAGTAAATAGCTGGGTAAACTCCACACCACCAGTGGAAAGCATCGAGACACTGAACACTGAGAAGCACCTTAGAACCACATCATTTTCTCTCTAATTATCATTCTTTGCCACAAATATTTAAAGACAGCTTGAAATACCAACGCTAAACTGTTGCTGGTTTGTTTTACCAAACAGAAATGCAGTGTGAACCCATTGGGGAGTGTTTACGTGTATGTGGCTATGCAGTAACCTGTCAATCTTCCTTTCTTCCTTATTTTTGTAGATCCCTAATAAAGAGCGAGGCTTGGGAATCACGTAAGCACATTTTGAGGCTCAGCTACAGACAGCTCCCTCTGCACCCAAAGACTGAAGAGCTAAAGCAATAGCTCTAGATTAAATCCCTACTTAATGAACCCCACTTCTAGTTGAAATACAGCCAGCCTGAAAGCAACAGAAGCAATTCAGACATAAAATAGTCATAGCGTTAGTGTTCATCAAAATGAAGGTGACTTCAGCTAGCAAAGCGTTTTGGAAGGGACAGACTATGCACAGGGCAGGACCCCTTGCTGGGGTGGGCAATGACCATCCATCCCCACATGCTAAGGTCCTCAACAGGAGGAAGTCCATTCACGGCGCTGCTGCCAAATCTTCATTTCCTTTGGAATACCCTATTTGCTGCTGAGTAACCCAACAACTATGTGTTTATGGACGTACCTCCTAAATCCACACCAAAACGTGACACCTGGACAGGAGCTTGTAACTTCTCGTTCAGCAGAGGTTTGGTGTCCATGGAAAAAGCACAGATTTGGGAAGGCTGAAATTGATCACGCTTTGCCATATTCTATAGAAAAACCTTCCCAAATATAATGAAAGTAAAACTTAAGAAGAAAACTCGTATTTTCAAGATTAATTATTTTCATTTTAATCTGCCTGATTGAGGAATCATCCTCAATATTGAAAGTCTAAAAATCTAAAACAAAAACAGCAGTGAAAATTTTTGAATCCAAAATCCCTCAATCCAAGTTCTGAAGGGGCTACAAGGATGCTGGAGAGGGACTCTTTATCAGGGACTGCAATGACAGGACAAGGGGTGATGGATTCAAACTGAAACAGGGGAGATTAAGGTTGGAGATAAGGAAGAAGTTCTTTACTGTGAGGGTACTGAGGCGCTGGCACAGGGTTCCCAGAGAAGCTGTGGCTGCCCCATCCCTGGCAGTGTTCAAGGCCAGGTGGGAGAGAGCCTTGGACAACATGGTCTAGTGTGAGGTATCCCTGCCCATGGCAGGGGATTGGAACTGCATGAGCTTCAACTCCTTTCCAACCCAAATCATTCTATGATTCTGGGACTCTAAGTTCAATGTAAAATGGAGCTTTTCTACTCCAGTGTAAGGATAAACCCAAACCTGGGGAAATTGAAGGTTTTAGTTAATTATAAACACTTTCTTTCCTTCGTAGGAGAAGAAAGGAGAAAACTTCCAGCAAGGAACCTTCTCACATCTGAGGCCGAGTGCTGCAGCTCAGCTGGATAAGATTAAGAGATGTACACAGACACTCTCATCACCTTTGTTCCCATTGAAAATACAAACATCCCAACCCTGATCCCTTTATCGCTTGCCTGGGGGAAAAAAAAAAAAAAAAAAGAAAAATAACAGGAAAAGGTGTTTTACAAATATTTTGAAAGCTCAAATTTGGAAGATTTCAAAGTTTTTCACACAATTTTTTCTCTTCATTTTCAGAGACTCTAAACACAGAAAACAGTTTTCAAAAGTCACCATGAAAAACATCTTGAAAAGCTCAGAAAGGGCAGGCTGAGTATCAAATCCTTTTAGAAACTACCAAGAACAAACATTTTCCAAGCTAGAGCCGTTCCAAACATCTTTGCTTGTCGGGAATACTAGCCAGGTTTGTTTTCACCAATATACACTCTGTCAATGAAATCAAGAGAAGGGAAGGGGGTGATGGGGATCTCAAGGCACTCACACAGCCAGGGTAGGCCTGGCTCCATACCACCCTCTGAAAACCCACCTCGGGGACCTCAGACCCCACCGAACAATCCCCACAACCAGCAGATCCACTCTCTGAGGACACCCAGAGAGACTGTCCACCCTGCTGTCCTCTGCTGCCAGCCCCATCACCTCAATGATGTCTACCAAGACACAAGTTTTGAGCTTCCCAACCAAAAGCCCAGTGAAATCCCCCCCTTAAACACATGGTGACAGTGTAAAGCAACCATCAACCAAACAAGGAATACAACACCAAAACAGCAACTCTCCATCCATAACCACCACCTCCCAAAACCTTCATTGTAGGACACATCCCTCAAGCAGTGTTGGCTTTACACCATAGAGCAGCATCACCACACCACAAAGAACATCAATTCATAGCTCCACAACTGCCTCCCGGCCCCATAAGGTCTACCAGCATCACGGGGGATTGATTTGTTTGGGTTTATGTATGCCTGTGTTTCCCCCTTTGCCCCCTTCCTACAACACTGATCAAAGCCAAATCAGTTAAGGCAGCATCAAAAGTTCATGTCTCTCATGCTGGGGTCTCCTTCAAAGTTCAGTGGAACTGCTTAAGCCTTGAAGAGGCTTGAAGTTTTTGACATTTCAAAAATCATTTTCCAGAACACAACAGGATAAAACAGCTCAGAAGAGATAGCGAACAAGGGGAAAGAACAAAGCACCCAAAAGGAAGCCAAGAGGGTTTGGTTTTTCCTTTCTCTCTTTCTTTTCAAGAAAAATCAAGATCAAAATACAAGGGTTTTTTTAAGACTTTCTATTTCTTCCTCCCTCTGCTCTTTTTGTCTTTGGTCCATTCACTGTTTCTTGGCCAACAAAATTCCTTTTCATCTAATATTAGTATTTTGTGCTGGAAAGCTATGGGAGGTCATACTATACGTTGCTATTAATGTATCCATCCCTCTACCATCACACAATTATAATCCTGTCACAGATATTTTCTTTAAACACTAGAGGAAGGATTAGCCCCTTGCTCTGCTCTACAGGTACAAAGAACAACCCTATTTGATTTCTTTGGAGACCTTTCTTATTTTCCTTGTTAAACTTGAAAGAATATTTCCCAAAGAGACAACTCCTCCCCTATCAGCTCTTTGCATTGATAAGCTCTCTCCTGGCCTGGTCTTAAATGTCTTTCAGACAATGCAGAAGAACCAGATAGATGTTGGATGCCCAGGACACATACACTGACCCAAGGAAGCAAACCAGGCCTGGTGCAGGACTGCATCCACAGATTAATCAGGTAGGCAATCACAGAATCCCAGCCTGGTTTGAGCAGAAATGGACCTTAAAGCTCATCCATTTCCAACTCCTGCCACAGGCAGGGACCCCTTCCACTAGAGCAGCTTGCTCCAAGCCCCTGTGTCCAACCTGGCCTTGAACACTGCCAGGGATGGGGCAGCCACAGCTTACCTGGGCACCCTGTGCCAG